AATTCCCCGCTGGGGAATTCTGGGAATTGAAGTCCACCTGTCTTAAAGTTGCTGAGGTTGAGAAACACTGATTTAAACAGAAGAGATGGGTTGCCACCTGGCAAGTGGGCAGTGCCCATGTGCTCCCACTGGGAAAGACCCCAGTGCAAAATCCCAAATGTCCTAACCATGTGGCTGTTTTTCACTCGGCCTCCGTTTCTAAAGGCTTGAGAGGTACGGGGCCCAAGGGACAGGAGGGGGAGCAGGAAATTGGGGAGGGGGTTTTGCAAGGAGGCAATCTTTAGTACCTTCCAGCAAGAACACTCGGAAGTTCACGTCACCCTCTGCAGAAGGAGAGAATCAATAGACCAGGCTGGAGTTTGCAGGAACGCCCTGGTTGACTGGACACCAAGACGGGGGGGGGGGGGTTCACACAGGCCCCTGGGGCAGCTCCCACCCTTCTCGGCCTTGGCCCCTCGCTCACCCCGCCTGAAAAAATATGGGGTGAACCGTGGCCGTCCTCGAAGGATCACTTCGGCAGGGAGGCAAAAGGAAGATCCCGCCGGGAAGAGCAAAACACAGTACCTGTGATTCCCCCTGCCCTCTTCCCAGGAGTTTTTCAAGCTTCCAGCCCTGGGATATTCCTGGGGGGGGGGGTCTTTCCCTAAAGTCGTAACCAGTGCTGTCTTGGTTTAGCTTCAGAGCTCCAAGCTGGCTAGATACTGTCACCTACGTGGCATGATCATGACCCGAATGTCTTCTCCAAGTCCTGAGTGGGAGTCAGGATAGTAGAAATTCCTCCTACTGTCGTTGGTGTGCAAGGCAGTTGCTAGATTGGGGAGCCTAGCTTGCGCGGAATAGGTGGGCATCCTTGGGGCAAAACTGGGCTTTGCTGGAGGAAGCTGGGCCCCAAAAGGGCCCAATTTCCAGTCTATGGATGCGTATCCAGGACCGTCCTTTCCATTTGCAGGGAATGTGGCACGTAGCTAATAAAAGCCAGGATAAGTGGCCAAACTCACTATCCATGTTCCCACCTGGCAATGCCCGACGCGTCTGGAAGATTGCAGCTTGAGTGTAAGAGAAGGAAATGGTAAAGAGCATAAACTAACGGGCGAAATGAAAAAACAAAAAGAAGAAGAAAATGAGGCACTGGAGAAAAAGGGGAAGGATGCAATAGAGCGGAAAGAAGTTAGTCCGGTTTTGGGAAGCAGAGTTGATGAAAACATGCAGGGGAGAGAAAGTGGAATTTCAGGGCTCAAATGCACATCAGAAAATACGAATTGGGGTCCTCCAGGTTGTTGTGAGCATGAACTAAGGAATTTGTAGATGGGTGGTTGTGAGCGTGACGGGGCCTTCGCTGGGAACGTGCCTGCTGAGTGTGTAAAGGCTGCCTCTGAAGACTGGAAGGCAGCCATTTGGCCACTTTAAGATGGGTGGACTTCAACTCCCAGAATTCCCCAGCCAGCATGGCTGGCTGGGGAATTCTGGGAGGTGAAGTCCACCCATCTTAAAGTGGCCAAGGTTGAGAAACACTGTCCTAGACAAAGGGAAGGGCCCAAGAGCAAATGGAGACGCGACAGAGAGCATAAAATCCTCAAAAATGGGAGAGGTGAGAAATGTGAGGACAAAAAGCGAGGTCTCAATCAGTGCATGGGCACGGGGGCAGCCAGGATGGTTGGCAAAGACCGAAAGGCGGAAAAGTCTAACCAAGGGGGTTGGCATCCGCTAGATTTAGCCTGTTTCTCATTCTCCTCCTTCTTCCGTTCCAACTTTAATCCCTTTGTCTTCCTATTTCTTACTTCTTTTCTGCACTCTGCATAATGTTTCTCTCTAAAGAGAACAGCATGGTGAGGACAGAGGCGGGGACATCTGCGAAGTGCGGTCAAAAACATCAAGAAGGCAGCCACACCATGGCTTTGACTGCACTGCTGGGGCCACCGTCTTGACTTTTTCGACCACACCCTGCAGGCCCCCGAAATGTGTCTCTGTAATATTTCTTCAGCTCTGCCTCCGCTGAAGACCTGAAGCGTGCTGTATTGGTGAGAACAGACGGGGTGTGTTTGCGTGTTGTTGTTTTCCTGGAGGGACAATCGTTAAATGGGAAAAAAATTATGCTGGAATTCTTGTGTGCCGAATGCGGGAAGCGGTAAAAAGGCATTTTGTTCCAGGTGGACACGGGAGACGGCCCTTCCTCAAAACGATGTTGGGAAATTGGGGGTCCCTTTATCCTGAACCCCCTAAAGTTTGCCGGGGGGGAAGACCGGAAGAGAAGAGCCCACTCACCTTCCATGGGGCTGTTAGCGTCCATCCGGTTAGCAAAGACGATGTCGACGTATCCCAGTTGGAGTCTCTGCAGGGACCCTTTTAACCCTGAAAAATGGAGGGGGGAGACGGTTGGAATAAGAAGCCCCAAAGCTGGAGGGGCAGGGATGCTCAGCAGCCTCTAGGCTGGGGAGGATGGGAGTTGGGGCAATCCGCTGGGGAAGTGGGGCTTGTAATCCATCCGTCCATCCGTCCGTCCTTCCCTCCATCCCCCCCTTGCATCTCCTACCGAAAGCTTAACCCCAAAGATGGTTTCCTTTCCAGGAACTGGCCCCCTCCCCTCTCCCTTGAGACTCGGCTCCCATCCAGGGGTCGCTCCCCAGCCCCACGAAGTTTGACCTGCCCAACACAAAACCGGTCCTGCCTTCAGCCCCCCAAGCCCTTTCCCCCCTTACCCTCAATGATGTGCTTCCGGGATAAGCCCCTTTCGGTCTCAGCCCTTTCAAGAGAAAAACAGAGGGTGAGTGATCCGCATCCCAGCTCCACTAACGCCAGGTAGATTTGGGGGATCCACAAACAGGGAGCCGAGAAGAAAACTGCAGGAGGGGGTCAGCCCATTTTCCGCAGGGGCCGACCCGATGCCCCAGGGAGGAGTCCACAAGCAGGAGGGCAAGAGTCTTTGTCCCCAGCACTCAAAGGTAGACTGCGCCTAACTAGGGAAGTTCTATTTAGTCCACTTGCACGGCCCCTGTGCCATCCGCGTGCTAAACAGTTAATAATGTAAAACAAATAGAAGAACTGAAATGGAGCTCAGAGCGGTCGAGGGAACCTGTTCTCCTAAAAGGCTTTTAAGCAGCCTTAGATCGGTGGCCGTGGCTACCTTGCTTGGCCACCCATCTTTAACTTATGCAGCCGTCCCAAGAAGGATGACCGATCATTTCTGCTCTTCTGCATCTCTCCATCCCCGCAAGGAAAGCCCACGCTTTGGAGCAGCGGGAATTTGCGCTCGAGGAACCTGGAGACGGCGGGAATTTCGAAGTCAAAGACCCCAGGGCCGGGCCTCGCAATACGCAGCGTCACAAGAAAAGACACGTGCCCTTATTCACGGGCAGAGGGCATTTTCCTCCCCACCGCCCCCACTGTGCTGTTGGGGATGATGGGAGTTGTAGCCCCACGCCATCAGAGGCCACCCACTGCCTTTGGAAAGGCTGCACTGAAGAGAAAAAGTCTGCGGCTGCCCAGTTTTTCTGCAGATGAACGTGTCTCCGGTATGGGGGGCCTCCCCTCCTTCCCACTGCACCGTGCACCCCCCCATTTCTTCCCAAGCCTCGCTTGGAGCACTTACTGGCCTCCCCAGTAAATTTTTGTGGTGACGACGTAGCTGGAACGCCTGCAAAAAAGTCAGAGGAAAGAGGAAACGTGAGCACACAGCGGCCCCCCAAGCCATAAAGCGAGAGACATGCGATTTCTCGTCGTCTCGCTGAGTGCGCAAACTCTCACTGAGGCTAGGAAAAGTGAAGGAGCCGTTTCTCTCCGGTACCCCCTCAATTAGCAAGCAATACAGATGCTGTGGCTCCGCCCCACTGATGACCTCACAGCCCCCCCCCCACTTTCACCCTCTGCCCTTAAGAATAAGGTTAAAAGCCGTCAGCATCATCAGTCCCGTCTGCGCGCAGAGACCAAGGGGCTGCCTTACCTCCAACCTTTGCTCTTCAAGATGTTCCCCAAAGTTTTTTCTGCTCTGGAGAAAAGAAGAGAAAGAGAGAAAGAGAGAGGAAGGAGGAGGGAGGAAGGGAGGTAGGTTTGTTGAAGAAATGAGGCCATTAGGACTGATTGACCAGGGGCAACTCAGGTCTGTTGCAACTGGTAGCAGGAGAGCTGGGTTAGTCTCTGGTGGCAAAAAAAAAAAATAGCCCGTCCAACTAACAAATTTTATTAAAAGATGAAGCTTTCATCTGATGCACAGAGGGTTTTTTCAACACCCCGGTGATATTTTGTTGGGGTTAGATTTGGGGGGGGGGGGGGGGGGGGGGGGGG